TGGCACCAAATGATCCTGAAGAAGGGTAAGATTTTATTATATTGGTGATGGTAAAAAAAAATCTCGTATGAGTCTTTTAAGTTATCACTGTAGCGGACTTAAAGTATTATATTATAATCTGATAAGTGATAGCTCATTTACAGGTTTTCCCTTACCATCACCTACATAATGATTAACCAAGTTTTAAATTAATGAATGTCACTTTATAATAGTCTTCTTAAAGAAGTTAATATTGAATCGGAGATCGGAGATAAGGAAAAACAAGGTATTTAAATCATAAATACTTGAATTTATAAATAAATAAAATAAATATATTGCTTAAGCTAATCAAATTTATCTTGGGTAGTCCTTAAAAATGTTGAAAAATTAGAACGATTTATAGTTGACCAATTAAGAAAATTAATTGATGATGATTTGGTGTTTCCTAGCTATTATTCGATCGAATTATAAGTTCATTTTTAAGTGATAGATGCGTTGATAATAGGTGTTGTAAAAATGTTAATTATTTTATTTAAAATTATAATTAATAAAATACATATTAATTAGTTCTATCGATTTCAAACATAATATTCAGTCATTATTGACAATCGTTAATCTTCTTAAGACGTTTTCATTTCTGTCTCTAACGGTGGTATAGTCAACCTCCGTAGTATCACTAATCGAAATAAATCGAAATATCCAAATATTATTAATTATGATAATACGGTAATTAGGGTTAAATTCTCGGGATATTACGATGAAAAAACTTACTATCCAATATGAAAGCTGTTAATCCCCAAATTTCTAACTCTGATCTAGAAGATGCTTGAAATACCTAAATAAGGTAGTAATTAATCATTCATAAATGTATATTTTAAAGTTTTGCCCTTTCCATTATATATATTACTTTGTTATATTCATCATAAAAAATCACAGCTTACCGGATACGTAAAATCGGTATTGCCAAACTTTTTCCACTTTTTCCTTTCTGAATTTAACAATTCATCGATCGTTGCAGAAAAAACTCCCTGAACTTCCTCTTCATTATAATTAATCTCATTTATAACGTTTTCGAAGGGGATGTTAATAAACCCAATGAATGGATAAACTTTTAGGGTTCGATCTTTGTTTGGTAATGGAGTCGATTGTCCTAATATTTCGACGTTTTCAGGTTGGATGCCAGTTTCCTCTGCAGTCTCTCGAAGTGCCGTGAACATGAGCGAAGGATCTGTGACTTCTTTTTTTCCACCAGGAAAACTTGTATATTAAATCACTTAAATGATTAAATTTTTTATAAACACATTTAAATGATCTTTTAATTTAAAAAAAGTTACCTTACTTCTCCATTATGCGTTTTTAGTTTATTGCTTCTTATTGTGAATAAAACGCTTGGTTCACCTTTTACAACACAAAGTGGCTTTTTGAAAACATATATTTGTTATGATTAGATACGCGCATGAGAACGTACATATAAATCATGCACGTTTATATATTAAAAATGTAAATTTCAGAACAAACCATCAAAACTGCCGCATCTTTGACAACTTTGCTTGTATCATATTTAAATTTTACGTTACTTTTACCAACAGTATTTCTTAATCGTGTACGTATTAATTCTTTAGTTATTTCGTCAAAATTTTGTACCGGCTTTATGGAAGATACGGTTGGATAGATAGTCGGTTTAATTGAAGTATTAAAAAATCTCATACCACATTGTCTCCTCGAAAATTGTGAAATCAATATGTTTGTGCTCATGCTTGCATTCTTTAATTTTATAATTGAATTAAAGTGTTTAATTGAATTAATTGATGATTTTATCATATTTACAACAAAAAATTTATTCGGTTAAAAAAAAACAATGATTTAAATACAATTTTT